GCTGTGACTTCCAGTGCCAATGTTTCTGCTTTGGGAAGGACTCCTGTACCAGCTAAAGCAAATCCACCTCACCCCAGCAGTGCAAAGACAAAAGGACCAAGTTCCCAGCTGGCAGGAGTTCCTTTGGGAAAGGCAGCTGACCAGTCCACAGATCTCTTACCTGTGCCCTCAGTGAGTCCTGGATGCACCACCACATCCAGTGTTTCTGCTGTAACCCCTACATGTTCAGATGGCTCCTGCACGGCTCCAGACTCCTCTGCAGCTCCAGCTGCCCCTCCAGCTGCCAGCCCAGCCCTGAGTGCCGTGGTGCTGCCCCAAGCACAACCCCCTGCCAGCTCTCAGGGCTCTGATTCCCAGCCTGTGCCCAGTCTCAGCAGCTCGGGAAGGAGCAATGGCTCCATCACAACAAAGGGATCATCCTGCAATCCAGGCAGCATCAGGAGAGTGGTTGTGCTGTGTCCAGGAGCTGCAGCTCCTCACAGCAATGCCCCAGGGAGCTCTGCCTGCTCTGGTGCCCAGGCACTGAGGAACAGACCCATTGCCTCCAAACCACCGAGTGCTGACGTCCCTCCCCAGCCAAGCACCTCCTGTGCAGAGAATCTCCTTGACTTCAGCCTGATCTCCCTGGAGGACCAGGGGCTGGTGAAGGAGTGGATGAGTGGGAAACAAGGGGTTCAGGTGCCACCACTGCAGACCAGGCTGCCTTATCTGCCACCTTTCCTCTGCAGCATAAAAACCCTCTCAAAGCTCCTTCTGCAGAAAACAGCTCTGGAGGAGCAAGCAGCCTCTCTCCTGCCCTCTGAGGCCGGTGGGGATGGGGGCACTGGGGATGTTTTCCACGCCATTGGAGAACTGGTGCAGCAGAAACTGGGTGATAACCCTGCTTACCTCATGCTGAAAGCCAGATTCCTGGCGGCCTTCACACTCCCAGCTGTCCTGGCAACTCTGCCTCCTCCCAAAGTGACAACAACTCTGTCAGCCATCGGGAAGCAACTTGAGGAGAGTGATGACGAGGAGTGGCAGAGTGAGAAAAAACTGTTTGAGGAAGAGAGTTGTGGGAATGAATTAACAGGAGTACGGGAGCACTGGAGACTTGGGGATGAGCCTGGAGACAAAGATGCTGGTTTACTAAATCAGGTAAAACAGATTTCAGGGGCTAAAAGCACAAAATGACTGCCAGATAAATATTGTACTGGAATCCAGGGGGAAGCCCCCACTGTTCTTAAGTGTAGCAGAAATTTGGTCCTTTTGAATAAACACAGTTCTACAGCTTCTGCAAGGAAGAGCTCTGCAGCTCAGCTGGGAGGGTGAAAGCCCATGCAGCACCTTAAACTTGCCATGACAGTTCCCAGAAGTGGGTATCAAAGCTCCCTTCCCCTTTCTGTTTATAATCTGCTGCCCTGATTCTTGCATTTTTGAAATCAGGCCTTTGTTTTCACTCTGTGAACTGATGTTTTGTGCCTTCTCTGGTATTTGTAATGTTGTCCCATACACCATTTTGAAGGCAAATGAAAGATTGTTTTAGAAACCTTGCTAAGCTCCCTAATTTAGGAAGGTGGCTGAAGGGATTATTTGAATTCTCATGGTGTTGATAATCTCTTGCTTCTGTTGCAGGGCATGGGGGCTGAAGAGGGCCCTGCTTGGTCTGCCTGGGGCTCCTGCACTGATGTGGCTGATGCCAGAGCTCCCCAAAGCAGGAGAAGTGCCCGCTTCAGGAAGAGGAGGAGGATATGAGAAGGAAATGTGTTAGTAGCTCCTCAGTGGTTTGTGCATCTTGCTGAGAAGCTGAACCACATTTGTCTGTGGTTCAGCTCAGACAATGACTCACGGCCCCAGGAAAGGACTGAAATCATCTCTGCTCTTGTTCCCTGAGGACACAGTCACCATCAATCACAGCTTAAGGCTGATAATATTTTGGGGAGAGGGAAAGTTGATGTCTCTATGATAAAATTATATATAAACTCCTGAAACTCAAACATTTGGCAGCCTTTTAGTTCATGCCCTGAACTCTACTTAGTATGCACCTAGTTGGTAGCACTCTACAGGCTTAACAGTGGAGTTTTTCTTTAATACTTCACCTTTGAGCAATTTGGTGGGGTTTGTGGTTTATTTCCCATATTTAGCTTAATTTCTGTGCAGTTATAACAGGATACAAATGGGTGATGTCCTGATACCTGCTGAGGCTTTTGGTGCACTGGGTGGAATGAACATGAACAGTGTTTGATTCATGTGGTTGTCAGATGAGACTGGTTGGAGATTCCTTTTCTTGAAAATTCATTTTAGGAACTCCAAAAGGGCAACTTCCCTGTAAAAATGTGTGATTGATAGGAGTTGTTTGTGCTTTGTTACAGGGGTCACTGGAATGAGCTCTGCCTTCCTGCATGGCTGGAGGAGAGAATTTTTGCACTGTTCACCTTTACCACTTCCAATGCTGACTGGATGGACCTGGAGAGGAGGAAAATGCTGGATTGATTTTCCCATCCCTCAACAAAATCTGCATCTATAGGCAAGGTTTAAAAATGAAGGAACCTGGCTGGAGGAAAGTCTTGCAGGCACAAACTTCTGCTTTCTTTCTGCTCCCACCTGCCATAGATTCTGAGGGGGAATATTGCTGGAAATGTGGGGAAACAAGCAATGGTGGTTATTTATTTCCTTCTTGTGTTGTTTATGTGAATGTTTATCCATGTACAGAATATGTTAATTGGGTGTTTTTTAGTGCTGTGACAGTGGCTTTGCTTGGTAACTGAATACTGTGGAATAAGCAGATTAATTTTGTATCAAAATGACTCTTAGTAAGTATCTGTTGAAATACAGATGTTTTATTTTTCTCACTTAAAAATTACTGATGTGTTCTGTGTGGGGTTTTTTCCCTAGTAAATAGTGCTTTTAATATTGTGTGTATGAGAGTGATTGCTAATGAGAAAAATGAAGTTTTCAGGCTGCATGAAAACCAGGGAAAATAGGGGGAATGAATATTCATGTGCCTAAAACTGCAGGATTGAATTAGGATTCTTCCTTGATTCTTCCACAGCCTGCCCTGTACAGACATCACAAATCACTTTAAAAAAACTTGTTTCTTCATTTATAACCCAGCAATTTCTGTCTCGCAGAGAGGTGCAAGGTTAGCTGAGGCAAAGCTGGTAAAATCTAGAGGGAAAGTGCTGTGAAAGCTTCGTTCCACTGCACTGACTGAACTCCCCTGAGTGTAGTGGGGAGCTGGGAGTTTGAGCTTTTCCATGAGGGCTCTTCAGGCAGAGCTGGGGGCAGAGGGCCACTGGGTGCCAGCATTGCTATAATTTGGTGTCAAGACTTTATAGGGCAAAATGAATGATTGTGGCAGGCTCTCCTCTGCTCCGTTTTCCATAAACCACTATAGATAGCAGTTTTCCAGGAAATTCAGCTGTGTCAGGAGCTGCTGCACAGCTGTGGGTGCTGTGCCCAGGCTGTTACAGTGTGACACCGGTGGGAAGGGTGAGTTGTGCTCTAAATGATGGTTGGCCTTTGCAAATGCTGCTGAAAAGATGCCCTTGTCATTTATTTGTGGGAAAAGTGCGTAAGCAGAGCTGGCTTTGTCCTTTTTTGGGATTAAATTGATTTGTCACTAGAACAAAACACCCTCAGGGTAAACTGGTCAATTAGCAGACACACTGATTACCTCCAGTAAGGGTACAGCTGACACAGATATCACGTCTTTCTTTAGTGTAAAGCTAATTTAATGACAAGAAACACAGGCTGGAAGAATCTCTGAGCATCTCTGCCCTACTCCTAATGATAACATGGAAAAACTCTCCATAAACTTAGATAGCAGAACAAAGAGTGGAGTGGGAAGCTAACGGGAACATGTGTCACGCTGCCATGGCATCGGAGCCTCTGTGTTCTTCAGGCTTTTTTAAAGAACACTGAGTGAGTTCTGAGTTCAGCTCCAGGGCTGTGGGAAGGGGGGGAGGCAGGCTCAGGTCTTCTGGTGAAGCTCAGCATCATCACCATGGAATTATCAGCATTATCACCTAACCCAGCTGCTTGCTGGGCTGCTGCTCTATTGCTGCCATGGCCACAGCCTGTCATTTGGGAATCACGGGTGATGTTCTTCACTTTGCCAAGACTTGATTCCCTTTCCCTTTCTTGTCATAATTATGCTGGAAGCTTGAGGACATCCAAAATTAGAGGCATCAATATAGAAATCACCCTTTTCAGCTGAAGAGACTTCTGTCTAATTTGAGAGTGAGTTCTTGCTGCCACCTGTTTTCCTGGAGAAAGATGTTAACAGCTGGAAATCCTTTGAAGAGCCTCTTCTCATTCTGTGGCTTGTTTTGTCCCCTGCAGTCAGCTGCACACCTATGGCTGTGACTGTCATTCTTTTTAGTCTTTCTGACCACTGCACAAAGAAACTTTCTGGACCCCAGCAGGTCCTTCAGTGGGACAGATTAGAGAATAAAACCATAATTAAACTAAAATCACTGCCTATGTGTTGCTGCTGACTCATGATGCCACTACCATCTTTCTCCTCTCCCATCACCCATTCTGGCTTCTGCTTTTTTTATCTCTCTTTTTCTTTTCCTTCCCTTTCCTGTCTCAGAGTATAGCTGAGTAGTTTCCCCTTTTTTCTCAAACCAGTTTTGTTCCTGGAGTTATCTTTTCTCTAGTCAAAATACAGAGGGAGGCTGCACCCAAGGCAGGTTTTCTCCAAGCCAGGAGGAGAATCAAGGAAGCCTTTGTGACTGCAGAGGTGAAGGCTGGTGATACAGAATGGCTGATATTAGCAGGGAATAAAAGTTTATTTTACAGTTCTGAGATAAAGTGTCAGCTCCTATGGGTGTTAGATTTGGTGTCTGTGTGGTCAGACAGAGCACAGGGATCTCACATGCTGGGAGGTGGAGAAGGAAGAGTGAACTGCTCGTAAAACAGCTAATTAGGACACTTCTGCATTCTCAGTCTTGACGTGCTTGGTTTCACCACCACTGCCACACTGCTCCGAGAGGCTCAGGGGCTGCTTGGTTGGTTTTTTGGTGGTTTTTTTCCACACAGGACAACGCTCCTCACTGATTCCCCTCACTGCTGACATGCTGGAAGAGGATAATGATGAGATCTGTTGGAATAACCTGGAGAACTTCCGTGTGAAGCTGATCTCAGTGATTGACCCTTCCCGGATCACCCCTTACCTGCGCCAGTGCAAAGTGCTCAGCCCTGATGATGAGGAGCAGGTTCTCAATGACCCCAGCCTGGTCATGCGCAAGCGGAAGGCAGGTGGGAGCACTTCAAATCCTTTTGTGGAGTTTCCAGGCCATTGGTGTGGGATTGTCTGGGGACTTAGACACTGGAAGGACTGCCCAGGGTGGTGCTGGTGTCACCCTCCCTGGAGGTGTTGAAACCAAGCCTGGATGTGGCGCTTGGTGCCACGGTCTTGTTGACAAGGTGGTTCAGTCATAGGATGGACTTGGTGATCCCAGAGGTCTTTTCCAACTTAATTTATTCTGTGAGTGGATCCCAGGGACTTTTGTATGTAGAGGAAGTGAAGCTAATTTTTTTATGTTACAAACAGATAAAGAGAGAAATAACTGAATAGAATATCCTGTTGCCATGATTTCAGGTGTTCTCCTGGACATTCTTCAGCGAACAGGACACAAGGGCTTTGAGGCATTTATGGAGAGTCTTGAGCTTTATTATCCCCAGCTGTATAAGAAAATAACTGGCAAAGAGCCCAGCAGGGTTTTCTCCATGATTATAGGTAATGTTTGTGTTCTCAACAACAGCTCTTCCTTTGGTGCTGCTGAGTGGAGTCAGGAGCATTCCCTGCCTTGCTCCATGTGTGCTTTGGAAGGATTGTGGGCAGAGCAGCCCTGGTATCACAGGTTGGACTGGGGAGGGAGGAAGCAGAAGGATGAATTCTTCCTTCTGCCTGTTGTGTCAGTGACTCTGTGGTGCAGGAAGGCATAGAGCAGAGGCACAGCGGGGATAATTTGATCACACATCAGCAGGTTTGGCTGCAGTGATATGGAGAGATAAGCTGAGCTCTGTGTGTGCCTGGCAGCAGCCAGGATGGCAGAGAGTGACCCCCTGCCCCACAAACAGACACGGCTGGTGAGTCTGGCCTGAGCCAGGTGCTGATGAACGAGATCATGAAGCTGCAGAGCGCGGTGCAGGAGGAGCGGCGCAAGGCGCAGGAGCTCACGGTGTGGCTGCACTCCAAGGAGGACACGCTCAGGGAGATGTGGGTCAGGGACAGCCTCCTCCGCAAGCACCAGGAGCGGGCCCAGAGGATGAAGGAGGAGAGGGACAGCCTGAGCAAGGAGCTGCGCAAGTGCAAGGACGAGAACTACAGCCTGGCCCTGAGCTACGCCAAGCAGAGCGAGGAGAAGAGCGCGGCCCTCATGAAGAACAGGGACCTGCTGCTGGAGGTCAGTCAGTTTCTCCAGCTTTCCCCTTCTTACCTGACCCTGGAAGGCTGGGCTAGCACCTCGTCTTTGCCAAGGATGCTCTAGTCCAGCATAAACCACTGAACACCTTTAGGGTGTGTTGTTGTGGTCCCTAGCTCAGCCCTGTGGGCCCAAATTTTACCAGTTGTGCTGTGAATGATGACCAACCAGTCTTTACCACACTCAAGGCTGCTCTCACGAAGGCAGCACGGGAACCTGTAAGCACACAGGCAGGACTCTGCCCCCAGGGCACAAAACTTCCTGAGGAAAACAGCCGGGGAGAAACTTGCCCTGTATTTGGGGAATAGAGAACTGGTTTTGCAGGCCAGAGCTTTCTCCTTTCGCCTGCTGAGCTCTGAACCTTCTCGTAGATTGATCAGCTGAAGCACAGCCTCATGAAGGCTGAGGATGACTGCAAGCTGGAGAGGAAGCACACGATGAAGCTGAAACACGCCATAGAGCAGCGCCCCAGCCACGAGGTGGTGTGGGAGATCCAGCAGGAGAAGGAGCTGCTCTTGGCCAAGAACCAGGAGCTGGAAAACACTCTCCAGGTTGGTGGGGAGGTTGAGTATGGGCTCAAGGGATTATTTGTAGCAGCCAGGGCAACAATGCTGCAGTGAAGATTGTGGGGATCAGCTGTTGCCCAAGAGCCCTGAGGGGAGAGAACCGATATGAATTTAGATGGTGGCCCTGTCTCACTTCTTCCTTTGTCCTGCAGGTTGCCAGGGAGCAGAACTTGGAGAAGAGCCTCTCCAAGGAAACTCTGGAGAATGACTGCAGCCAGACCGTGGAAGAACGCCGGGAGCTGGTGAACACCATTTACAGCCTGCGCAAGGAGCTGCGCCGAGCCAAGGTGCTCCAGGACAAAGTAGGTGCTGCTGTTCAAGGCCCTCCTGAGGCTCACAGATCAGAAAGGCAGGTGGGGCACCTGCCTGTGGAGCAGAGCAGCTGCTCAGGAGCAATCCCTGCTGCTCCTGCTGTAGTATCTGTATTTCAGCACTCCCTGTGTGGCAGCTGACAGCTCAGACACCCCATGGAGCTCTGGCCAGAGCAATCTGTCCCCTCCCTGAGTGGGGACAGTCTGGCTCAGGCTCTGCCCACAAGCAGGTGCTTTTGACATTGTCTCAGCAGTTTGCAGAGGAAAAAGAGATGCTGGAGCTACAGTGCACATCTCTGAGGAAGGACTCCCAGATGTACAAAAAACGGATTGAAGCTGTCCTGCAGCAGATGGAGGAAGTGGCTTTGGAGAGAGACCAGGTGATAAAATATTCCTCACTGCTTCTCACTGCTTTTTGGGCAGACAGTGGCAGCCTGTCTGTGCTGTTGTGTGAATGCCCTGTGTTGTCCCTCTGCACAGGCTCTCCAGACCCGAGAGCAGTTCCACATGCAGTACTGCAAGAATCTTCTGGAGAGAGACGCCTACCGCAAGCAGATCCGGGAGCTGGGGGAGAGATGTGACGAGATGCAGCTGCAGCTCTTCCAGAAGGAGAGCCAGCTCCTGGCCACTGAGGCCAAGCTGAAAAGGCTGCAGCTGGAGCTGCCCACACTGGTATAACTCTCCTTCCCTTGATGGATTGGGAAGCTGAGGATGGGGTCACACTGTGGCTGTTCCCAGGCCTCTGCACCTGAGCAGCTCCAGCTCAGCAGGCAGTGAACACCTGACTCAGCTGCTTTCAAAATTAATTAAAACGATTGCCATGCAAATGCTGAGTTTAGAAAATGAAAGATGTGGTGGTCTCTGTGACCTCACCCTGGTTTCGGGCATAGAAAAGCTGGACAGATGGAAGCTCAGGCCACCTGTGTTTGTGTTTGGAGCATTTCCAAAGGTGGTGAGGGGTTCCTCAACCAAAGAATGCTTCTATTTAGAGACGGTGTGATCCATTTGGATGAAATGGATGAAAGTTTTCTGGAACTAAATCAGACATATTTTAATTAATATGGCATCATGTGTACTTTCTTGAGTGGCCAGACATGAGTGTGGGAGTTCTGTGTTTTCTTGAGCTCTAAGACTCCTGTGTGTTCCCTTCCTTGCTTATGAGGAATGATTAATCTATACTGGTTTTGTTTCAGACCTCTGACCTGGATGACTCCTCTTCTAGAGATTCCCAGGAAGTGAGTAGGGTTCCTTGTTTACCTTTCACTTTTTTTCTGGGATGGTTTCATGTCTCTCACCTGTGCTCAGCTCCCCAAGTATCAGCAGTTTTCAATGGCTCAGGCTCATTTCAGTCAAAAAGTCCAGAGGCAGCAAGACAGTGAGAGAATCTCCCTGTGTCTTGAGGTTCTAAGTGTAGGAACACAGTTATAGCATTAGTTAGCAAAATTTGTTGAGTCTAAGCAAACCAAGGGAATTTAATTATTTTTCAATTCCTTTTAATTGTCTCTCTTATGTGAGAACAGGCAAAAGTAAGTCTTACTCTGGAGCCATCTGTAGTAAAGAGTTTCACTTAGTTCATAACTTCAGTGAGGGAGTGATTATCACATTGTCTGGAGGCCAAAAGTGTAAATGAGGCCAAAGGAAGCTGGATCTACTCATGGAGGAAAAATCCATGAGCAAATCTCTAACTCCTGGCTCCATCTGCTGCTGGCAGCAACAGGGAGAGGTTGGTTCTAGCATGTCCTGGGTTTTATATTCCTGATGTTCTTGCTCTGTTTTCTGTCCCACAGCTTGTTCTTCATGTTCACCTGGATGAAGATACACAGGCAGCTAAAAGTAAGGGGAAAACACTGAGTAGAGCTCTGGAGAGGGATGGTTCACTCTGTTTTGCTCTCCTGGAAGATCTAAATCTGAATTTTTCATTCATTGTGATGGGAGATTTTTCACTAAAACTAAACAGCACTGATCCAAAAAGGCTATTATTATTATTATACCTTGTTCAGTTCAAAAATATATATTGTAACACCTGGTCACTACAGAAGGAGTTTCACCAAAATAGGGTCTGGTATGAAGTGCCATGATATTCACAACTTGGGGAGCAGGGACAAATGATGGGTAAAATAATGATTAGCACGTTTCTCACAGTGGTCTTTGACACAAATATTATTTTAATGCAATGAGCAGAGGAGCTGCTTGGGAAAGGTTTGTTTATTGGAAGTGGAAAGCTCTGTCTCTTTCTGAGTGTGGTGGGGAACTCCACCATCCTGGGCAAGATTCAGGGCTCCGTTAAAATGAGAAGTGACTTGTGATTGATGACAGGATGGAGTTCTGAGTGCTTTGGGCTTGGTTTCAGTTCTGCTGTGGACTCTGTGCACTTACATCACAGCTCTTCTGCTGGAAGAACTGCTGGAGGGAGAAGTTACTTCACAATGGAAACTCTGACTAAAGCTGTGATTTTTTTTTTAACCTTTCAGAAGATTGCCTGGAAGTACAAAACCAGGAACTCAGCCCTCGAGAGAGCCATCTGCCCCCAAAATCACCAAATGTAAGAGAATCTTTGTGGCCTCTTCTTTACTATGACTGGGGTTTGTGATTAATATTCTCATTAATGATGGTTTTACCAGCTTGGGGAAGCACATCAGCAGCTCCTGCTTTTCCAAACTGAGCACTTAGTGCAGAATCCACCCTCCAAAAAGGGTGAGCTCTGAACAGCAAAACATTTAAAGTGGACATCTCTCCATCTGTGTATAAAAACTTCTTCTAATTACTTTCTGCCCTTCCTCTCTGGGTGGGGAAGTTTTCTAGTGTGAGTACTGCAGAATTACTGTTGGTGCAGAAAACAGACTCCCAGAATTACAGGTGTTGAGGGAATAAATGTGGTAAAACTGTGAAACAGCAGCATTACCATCTTGAACACACAGTAAAGAACCTGCTGGTACTTGACTCTGCAGATGCGGGGAGCAAGCTGGTGTTAAACAGTGATCTGATCAAGAATGAATTAATATGTTTTTAGGGTGTTTTGTTTTTTTTTTTCCATTTCAAGGAGTGTGCCTTGGCCAACGAGGAACTGGCAGAAAAAGAGAGGAGGAGGATGAAGGACTGCTTTGAGCGTTACCGAAGGTCTGGGCTGCAGTAAGCAGGGCGAACCTGGAAATATCCATTTTTTCCTTTCCTGTCCCCAAGCTTGATTCACCAAGGGCATAAAATGAACCACAGCGGGGACTGATAAATACTAAGAGTACGAAACGGTTGTTTGCAGAAAACACCTTCTGAAAGTTGTGTGCCGGGTGTTTTTTGCAGAAAAAGAGCGATGAGAAGGGCGCCCAAAGGCCGGCACCACGAGGCGGACTGGGAGAACACCTCTGGCAGCGACAACACCGACACCGAGGGCTCCTGAGAGAGGGACAGCACCGAGGTCCCCCGAAAGGGACAGCAAAGGCTCCTCGGGAGCCGCTCTCTGAGGGGAACACCAGCTTCTGTGGGGCGCCTGTGCCTCACAGCGCGCTGTTCACATTCTAAAACCATGCAAAAACCCATGTATGAAAAGCGCTGCAGCGACGCTCTTCTGTGTCTCTGACGCCCCCCTCGGTCAATAAACAGGTTTAAACACCTGCGTGTGACACAGGGCTGAACTAATGGTTAATTACGGGTTAATGAAGGGCTCTGCCCCACACCTCCATGGCCGCCGCCCGCACCCAACATGGCCGCCGGCGCCTCAGGGCGCGGCGCGCGCGCATGCGCGGTGCCATGCTGAGGGCGCTGCTGAGGGCGCCGCCGCCATGGCGGCCCCGCCGCCCCCCGCCCGGCCTGAGGGGCACGGTCCGCACCGCCCCGGCACCTCCCTGCGGGGCTGTTCGCCCGGCCCGCACCGCCCCGGCACCTCCCTGCCCTGCCCGCACCGCCCCGGGACTGCGCTGGTGCCCGGCCCGCCCGCTCTGCACCGCCCCGGGGCCGCCGGCGGCCACGCACTATCGCCTGGTGTACACCTGCAAGGTGAGCGTGGACGGGAGGCTCCTGGTTGTAGCTTTAAACTTGCAAAGGTTAATTCAGAGTGGAAAAGCCCTCTGGAGGTTTCAAGTCCAAGCGCCGTGTTGGGGAAGGATGTTCTTCGGGGTTTTGTGGGTATCTCCGAGGGTGGAGGTGGCACAGCATCTATGAGCCTCCTCCTTAGGCAGCCACGGAAAGCTGTAAAACCTCAGCCTTTGTGAACTCACGACATCCTAACATGATGGAGCTGACTTGGGATAGTTAGAGGTGAAGGAGGGAAGACGCTTTTAATGTCAAAGGTATTTTTGTCTTAAAAGTCCCAGGAGTTACAGTTACCCTGCTCATAGAATCCACTTTGTTCTCCAGGTGTGCCAGACGCGTTCAGCCAAATCCATCTCTAAGGCCGCCTACCACCGAGGGGTGGTGATCGTGACATGTCCCGGCTGCGGGAACCACCACATCATCGCCGACAACCTGGGCTGGTTCTCCGACCTGCAGGGAAAGAGGTGAGTAGTGTGCCAGCAGCGTCCTCCTCACGCCCTGCTCCCACCGCAGCTTCCTGAGCTGATCCCTTCTTTCAGAGATTTCTCTTTCTTTTTTTCAAATGTGGCTCATACTAAAAGTTTCATCCAGTTCATTAAAACACACAGACTCTGTTTTCGGTCATTATAATTTGACTGTTGCTGTCTAGGAGCCATATAAATTGGTGTGAAGCTGCAGCAGAAGCTGTGGGATACACAGGGATCCTTAGTGGTGCCAGCAGGTGATTTGCTGTTCCCCTCAGGCTTTATCGCTTCACTGCTGGGTTTCCTTGGATGTTTCAAGTGTGTAGATTGATCTGCTGTGGAATTACAGTGATTTCTAACTTCTCGAGATACCTGTAAAAGCTTCTGTTTAGCTGTAATTGCTGAATCATTGATCCTAGTGGATGAAAGTATTCCCAAAAGGTTTGGGTGGTTTTACGTGGTTAATTTTGGGTGGTTTTCCTGGTGCTGTGGATCCCTGCATGGTGTCAGTGCTGAGTGCACTGAGCCTGGGTGTGCCTTTGCTATGGTATCAATGCTGGTTCTCAATTCGCTGTCCAGGAACATCGAGGAGATCCTGGCAGCCAGAGGGGAGAAGGTGACACGTGTGGCTGGTGAGGAAGCCCTGGAGCTGCTGCTGGAGAGCTCGGCAGAGCCCCAAGGCCAGCTGGCAGAGGGGGACGACGGGGAAGCCCCCCCAGATCCTGGCAGCAAGGGACACGCCTGACACGAGGGACTGTGGCCTGTGGGACAGATGTGACACGTGAGATTGTGGCCTGTTGGACAGACCTGCCACCTGGGATTTGGGACATTCTGCTTGGGCAAGAGACTCTTCACCTTCATTCCCTGATTTCAACTGTCTGTATCTAAAATAAACTCGGGTGTTGGGTTTTCTCTGGTGTGTGTCTTTGCCTTTGATCAAGCTGATGTCTTTAGAGATGGTGTTGCTATTTTTCCTGGTACTTGTTTTGCTGACTTTCAGGCAATTTTCAGTGCCCCAGCAATGTTCCATGCCTGGCTTTGTTCCCTGCTGAGAAGGCAGACAGAAATTCTCAGTCTATGTGTGTTTGACCTAGTGAGCTGCAGCTGGAGGTTTTAGGGATCTCAAGTGTGACAAATCAGGAGAGGGGAAAATTGATACCACCTGAAGAGATGGGTCCCAGAATTCTAAAGCCAAAATGACCCTCCAGAATGGTTTTACAACTCCTTGTTAGTGAGGGGGAGCGTGGGTGTGAAGGCAAAATTACTAGTGGTGGAACATGGTGGAGAGAACTAGAGGACCCAGAAAGTTGTCTTGGCAGATATTGAGGGGCTTATTAGTGCTACTGCAGTATGTTAAGATTAGTTAGAAATGTAAAAAGAAATAAATGACAGATGTGGGAGTTTGTCAGCATGCAGCTCTGGGGTAGTGGTGGATCAGGCACGGAGATGATCATGTTGTGCTGTTAGGGCCTGTTCCCTCTGCACAGTGGAATACCTGCTTTCTTAGGGTTTTGAGCTTGCAATCAATTCAGTTTGGACAAGCATTCTGGAGGATTCCAGTGCAATCTGCATGTCAGAGGAGGATATTCGGGATCTTGTGAATATCTCTTAAGGGTAGAGGTTCCACAACCTCTATGAATCCCCCTCATTGAGCCACAGAAAGCAGTAAAACATCTCTCAGCCTTTGTTACCTTGGGCTTAGCAAACCCATTTCTCTCAATCAAGCATCTCCAGCTGCTTGTGGTGCTTCATCAGCCACGGATTCAGTGAAGGCACTGCAGGCATTAATGAGTTTCCTTCCTCTGGAGTGTTCATAACAGTTTTATTTGTGTTGCATTGTAAGTGTTGGGTCAGAGCACCAGGAAAGTTGTCGTGTTCCTGTGGGTGTATCAGTGCAGAGTGATGAAACAGGGGCAGGAACTTCATCAGCCAGCTCGTGTGTGCTCAGACCCTGGTGAGATGCAGCTCCCCTGGAACAGCTGCTGGAGTGACCCAGGGTTGACAAACAGGATCTTGCATCTCAGAACTGCTGTGTTCTCCCCCCGAGCTGGGCTGCTGGCACCTATTAGCACTGCTGGAAAAGTGTTTGTTTTATTACCTTTAATCTGAAAATCAGCATTCTGCTTCCATGGTGCTGGTGCCTTTGATGGGGTGGAACAGAGCAGCTGTTGCAGGATCTGTGTTGCCTTGGAAACAACTCATTTACAATCTGGCTTTTTTATAATGTTTTTCTTACCTTTCTTACCTGTTACTAGGTCCCAATTACAGGAAGGTGGTGCAAATTTTTGCTGTGTTATAGTGCAAAATGTAGCAAAACCTGTGTTGGCTGTTCCTAGATTTTAGTGTTCCCAGACTTTAGTTTTCCTTGTCCCAGTGCCCTCTTGTCACCAGGTGCTCTTTGGGGGCAGGACAGAGACAGGTCCCGGTGCCCGGGGGCTGCCTCTGCAGCTCTGAGCAGGGTGGGTGGCAGTTCTTGCTGCTGCTCTGAACATTCAGTTCAACATCGGGGGAGGGAATTTGCACATAATACAAAAAGATTTGCTGCTAAGAGATTGCAGCTAAAAGAGATAATTTTTTTTTCCCTTTTGAAGCTGTTTTTTCTTAAAAATGTTGTGTCATGGGGCGGTGGGTTTGCTCTGGAAAGGGGACACGGGTAAGCGCACAGACTTGCTGTAGCCAAGGGCAGGGAGTGAGGAGAAGCAGCCTTTCTGCAGGCCTGACATCAGCCCTGTCCTGCGAGTGCCTCTGGGTGCTTGTGTACAGCTGGGTAGGAGAGGGCAGGATCTGGTGTTTCTGCTGGATTTTTAGGGTTCTGCGTGAAGAGGACCTGCCCTGCACACTGGGGACAGCGCTGCTGCCAGTAACTCACTGCACAGCAGCAGCAGCAGCTCACGGGCCGGCAATCCCGCGGCTCTCCAGCGGATGTCAGCAGCAGAGAGCTCATCCCGCCGTGGGAACGAGCCTGGCAGCCTGGGAGAGAGGATTCAGCACAGCAGCACCGCTGCAGCCTGCTCTGGACACTCAGTGCCCCCTGCTCACAGGAGCTCAGAAGGAGCCTGTGCTGCTCAGGATGGAGAGACAGGAGGTGAGACACCATCACTCTCTCCCAGGGATCACTGCTCCTGGGAATCTGAGCCTCTGCACACCTGAGGGCACGGTTCTGGGCCCAGGTCACACACAGGTGTCAGAACACCTGATGAGAACAAGCTGGTGGCTCTTTATTACTTTGATCAGGGCTGGCAGTGGCCAGCACAAATGAGCCCAGCTGTGATTTGGCTTTAGCCTCACAGGGCTCAGGATCCAAACTGCTGCTCCCAGGCTGCCTTCCAGCCCAGTCCAACAGCCTGCTCATGCCTGCTGTGCTGGAATGAGCTGCTGCTGCTGCTTTGTGTCTGCTCCAAGCGCCAGTGCCAGGGCTGTGCCCAGCACTCCCTGCCCCTGTCCCCTGGCTCTGGGGAACAACCCAGCTTTGGGCCAGGCGCCGGGGTGGCACCAAGACCAGGCAGAGCCTGAAAGGAACAGCTCAGCCTCTCCTCAGCCTTTTCCAGTGGCCTTTTCTCAGCCATGCAGAGCTGTTCTCTCTGCCCTGTCGTCCTGGAAACTTCTGGGCAGGGAAGTCTCAGGGCTTTGTGCTTTCCCTCCACAGCCACATCCATGCTGGCAGGCAGGCAGAGCTGGGATGGTGGTGGCTACCACGAGACCCGTGTGCTCACAGAGTACAGAGATGTGGAGCTTGGTGCACAACACTTTCCTTAGCACAGGCAATGGTGTCTGTTACCAGAGCCCCCCTCCATTCACCCCCATCCCTATTCCAAAGGGCCAGGATTAGCCCTGCTGTCAGCCAGGAAATAATGGAAATGAGTATTTGCACTGAAGCTTAGACACAAATATTTATTAAGCACAATTCCCCCCACCCCTTCCCCTTGAGCTGTATTCATTTCTAATATATTAATCCATTTGGCAGATTATTTTTTAGAAAAAAAACCAAGTACCTGTGGGTTGGAAATTCCCCATTAAAATGACATTAGCAAATGCACATGTAAAAAATAAATAAGCTCATACATTCAAGTATATGGCAAATAATACCTTAATAATACCTCTGAAAGCTTAATGGTCAGGTTCCAGTTCACCACCTGCCTAAGAGCTGCACAGGCCTGAGCCTGCAGGTGGTCAAGTCATCATCATGAATGTTTTTCTCTTCTACAAATGTCAGCTTGGCTGGTAGGTAGGGGATGGGCAGCTCCTCCTCTCCAGAGCTCTGCCCAACCCCAGGAGGGAGGCCCAGGCTCGGCCAAGCAGCAGGTGAGTGCTCCCAGGTAGCAGGTAAACTGCAGCCACCGCTCCACATGGTCAGTGCAGGCAGGGTAAATGCCCATGAGCAGCATCACTGGTGGAAAAATAGCTCCCTGCTGGCTGGGGATGTTTCCATCAAACGCATTTGGAATCCAAAGTGCTGATTTATTCTCTGCAGGAGCGGCGCTGCTTCGGCACAGCTCGGCACTGGAGTTGCTGAAGTCCAGCATAGCCTCTGGTCAAGCAATGGAAAAATACTGCACCTCCTCAAGTCAGGTCCCTGCTCCCCTCCAGCTTTTCCAGCTGGTCCAAAAGGGGAAGGAATGACAGTAAATGTGAGTTCCCTGCCAGCCCGCCAGGCTGGGGCTCTCCTGAGGCTCCAGGGGCTGGAGACAGGGGGACACAACCAGAGAGCCTCACTGGGAGCAGCTCAGTGCTGCCCTGGGGAGAAACAGGAGGAGGGAAGGGCCACTGGCCCGAGCTGCTCTTGGACACAGAAGGAAGGAGGGATGAGCCATGGGCAGAAAGCTTTGCTGGCTGTTGAAGCAGGGCCCTGTCACACACAGGTTCTGTCTTGGACACCTCACATCGGCTCAGTGGCACCAGGAGCTGTCCCTGTTTGCCGTGGGCTGAAAACTCGGGCAGAGACCTCTTTCCTCCTTCCCCCTGCCATGGGGCTGCACAGGACTCCAGAGGTAACAAATCCCACTAAAGCTTAGGGTCAGTGAGGCTTTTCCCCTGCTCAGGAGGTCCTGCAGGGCTGCAGCTGCAAGCAGAGAATGTCCAGGGCTCTCCTTAGAGTCCTCAGCAAACCTAAAATACACTCAGGTGTGTGGGACCACGATGCAGCTGGGATGGATAAAGTTTAAATGAGTTGGGCTCTTTTTCTCCTGCAGAAGGAATAAAGCTGAACAAGATATTCCAGAGAAGAATCCAGAACCATTGGTGTAAGGGAAAACAGGAGGACTACAAAATGGAAAAGGTGTTCTTCCCTTTCCCTGCTTAAATAAAAGTGTTGTGGAAATAAAAGAAATCAAGGATGGAGTTAGCTACCCCCTGTGGGCGCTCCTCCAAGTTCCTGGGGTTTTAGGTGATCAGTAAGGGGCTGCTAAAGTCTTCCAGGTGCTGTGCCCAGAGTTACAGTGGCCGAGTGTCCTAAAAAACACCCCTTATTTAAAAACTGTCCTCCATCCACTGGGCTCTCCCATAGGAACATGATGGAGGTGCAAGACTGGGAGCACAGGAGCACTCGGGTTTGAAACCACCTACTCTGTTCTTCCTTTTTAAAAAACAAAGCTGAATCAACCCCCCCAGACCAAAGCCCAGTTCTTAGCTGGAACCAGGCCTCTGCTGCTCCTCCTCGGCCTCCTCCTGGGCTGAGGCCAAATCCACACGCTGCTCGTCCATGCGTTTGGCCTGGACACGCTGGATGAGGCTGAAAAAGTCTTCATCAGGCATGGTGGGGCCACGGGGGATGGAGTCTGGGGGGGCACAGCGCTGGTCATCGATCCTGGAGGACTGCAGGGGAGAGAGGGGTGTTAACATCAGCACAGGGCAGGGAGGAAGGGGCTGGAGCTGAGGTGTCAGAGCTCCCCCAGCCCTGTGCCCCTACCTGACACTTCATGAGCATGTTGAAGAACTCGTCCCCGGGCTCCTGGGCGTCTCCCTCCACACGCAGGTGGCCCAGGTTGTTGTGGGTTATCCGCAGGCCGGGCAGGTTGCCCACGTTGGCACGTTGGTCATCCAGGCGCCTGCTCTGGGAGCTGGCGATGAGGTCGAAGAACTCCTCTGTCTGCGGAGATGCCATCAGGGTGGACTGTGCTGGGGGAGAGGAGCACAGGGCAGGGTCACCGCTCTGCCTGCCTGAGCTGCAGAGCCCAAATCCCTCCCCAAACTCCTCCCCAACCCACACAAACCCAGCAGGCAGCAGCAGGGGAATCGGGTACCTTGCTAAAGCAGAACCTCACACACACACCTTGCACAGCTGGGTCCCCTGCGGGGCTCCCTGCCTGTGCTTGGCCAGCTCCTGGAGGCCACCAAAGGTGCCACCTCAGCCCAGGAGATCCAGTGTCCCCGGGCTGAACCACTGCCTGTGTGTGATCCCTGCTGTTCCAGCACTGCTGCTTCCACTCCAGCTTCCAGCTGGACCACGAGGCACAGGCAGAGCTGGGCAATCGCAGGTGAGCACAGAGTTCCTGGTGGCCCCTGTGGCTGTGACAGGAACCCACACAGTCCCAAAAGCTGGGAACAACTGCAAATAGGCCATCAGCAAAGCCCTGGTCTGGCTGAGCCCCTCACCTGACAGCACCTTCCCAGGCCCCCCAGAAATCCGGGCTGTTTGCTCAAGGAGAGGCACTGCCGAGGCGAGTCCAGCTCTCATGGGCTGCAGGATCTGCATCAGCACAGAAACACTCCTGGGCTCTGCTGCTTCTCATCCCACAGAGCAGAGCCTGGGCTGTGCTGGTGCTGGGGGTCCCAGTCCAGAACCAGTACCTGTCACCTATCCACCACTGACCCTTTGGAAACCCCTCTGGGCAGCACTCCCTGGAAAGAGCCTGTTGGCTGCTGCAGCTGCTGGGGAGGGAGAGGCTCCCAAACACACACTGCACTCAGGGACCAGCAAAGGCAAACTGAGAAATCCAGCCCAAGTGGTGTTACTTTCCCTGAGCACAAAGCACTGGAGCAGAGCCTGCTCTGAGCCTCCCGACACAAGTCCTTAGAGCCCCAGCTCATGGAGCTGCAGAAACACAAGAAAATCTCAGTGCTGACGCAGGGATGAGTTTCCTCCCCTTCAGCTCACAAAGAATCCTCAAAAATAACACGTCCGAAAGGCTCGGAGCCCAAATGAGCTTCACAGAATGTGGGGCTGCTCGTGCATTCTTTATAAAGCTCTGCATTTTCAGCCCCATCTCCTAAATTACACAGCTATTACAGCCAAATGCACTTGTGTGTCAGAAATGCATCTCTTGACAAAGCAACGCTCATTTCCACCTTATTTTTAGACAATAAATACCCTCTCACCTCACAGTCAACCTGCCTGCCTACCACAGCCTTGACCTTCTCTGCTGCAGCCCCTGCCCTGGCACACACTCCTTGTGCTGCGGCTCTGGGAGCGCTGTCAGGGGGCTCCTCTCCAGTTTGCACTTCACGTTCATTTGGAAACTGATGATGAACAAATCCATCAGCTTAAATAACTGGTTTGAACCCTTTGTGCTGGTGATTAAGCATGTGAGGGTGATCCGTGCATTTTAGAGCTTCTCCCCAGCTTTGGTTAAACAAAGGCCCTGAACACTGAAAAAGCCACAAAACCCAAGTGCAAACACAGCCCTGCCTTTCCTGCCCGATTTGTCAGGCGCCTTCCTCAATTTATCCCTGTCCTTCCTTGGGCTGAGCTGTGCTTCCCACTGTTTATCCATCCTCCTGGCTCCTCTGTCCTCACACAGCTCCTATCACCACCGCATCCAAGAGCAGTACAAAATCCAGAAGTTTTTCCTCCATGGCAACGCTATTACAAAAACTGACAATATTTTAACTTGGCTGAGAAAGCCTGACCCGGCCCCTGCACGTCCCAGACCCCAGCTTCTCACAAAGCTCCCTCAGCAATGACCACCATCCTCTTCCTCCTGGGTGTACTGGAAGTGGCACAAGTCCCTGTGCCAACCTCCTTGTTCAGAATCCAAGACCTAAAGACCTACACTAAAAAAATGCAAGCGTATTCTGCATTTCTCTTGCTAATTTACTCCCCAAACCTTAGCTCACATTCTCCAGCCTTTCCCTCAGCAACCATTTACATAAGAAGGAAAAAACATTAAATAATGGCCGAGATTGCCAAGGAACTGCTAAAGTTCAGAGAGCTGAGACTCGGGGAAAACATCACGGGATGCACAGCAAACCACAACGGCTGGGCAGGGCACGGGAGCAGCGTCACTCCCGCAGGAACGGGACTTGGGTGCTCACATATCCGCTCTGCCAGGGCGGGCACCCGCGTGGCAGCCGCCTCCGCAGCCTCCCCCGGGCACTCCTCCAGCGGGCAGCGCTGATCATCCATCCGGTTGCTCTGGAACTTGCTCAACAGGTCAAAGAAGCATTCCTCGTCCGAAGGGGTCCGGTTGATTTTCTGGGAAGAGAGAGGAGAGTCGGAGTCAGAGCAGCCCTGATGAGTCCCCGAGTCCGACGGCTCTGTCTGGCACGGCCTCAGGAACAGCCGTGCCCTCTCCTGCTCTGTGCAGGGGCTGGCGTGCCAAGCCCCACAGTCTGGAGCCTGCTGGGGTCTCTGCTCCTTGGTCCCTCTGATCCCAGAGGCTCCGGGCACTGCCACAGCCCAAACCTGGCCTGGATGAGCCTCGTCACAGCCACAGGAACCTGGAGGCTGAATGGGAAAGAAGGGAAAGGAGACAGCATTCACCCTGGCACTGCTCCCAGGGCAGCGTCTGGGCTGGACAGGGCTGGGCTCAGAGCAGAGTGAGGGCAACCGTGCAGCCACCCTGGCTGAAGTGCTGCCCTGTGCCCAGCCAGGGCTCAGCCCAAGCTCAGCCTTTGCTTTTTCCACCAGCTAAATCCAACCTTTCCAGGCCACTGCCCCTCACACCCCAACGCTTCCCCTCGGTGCCTGTCCCAGCACAGCACTTGCAGCAGTTACCCAGCTGAAAATGCCACAAAATTACAGATTTTCAGGACAACAGTTCTTGCACAAGAGCCCCAAATGAGCACCTTGCACTAGACAGGGATATATTTAAGTTGTGCTGCAGGAGGCTCGTGTTGGAGGCAGCCTCTCCAAGCCACTTCCAGCAGGGAGAGAGGCTGTGTGTCCTGATCTGGAGCAGACAGAGCAGCAGGAACCACAGATCCTTCCAAGGAGTCACTTGGAATGGGAAATAAAATTAGCCACTGATAAGAGGGGCATCTGCCAGGCTTGCCAGGCTTCCCTACACACCAAGCTGGTCCCACCAGTTACTGGGAGAAAAGCCACAACAGAAAGCAACCAAAACCTCTTAGAACTGCGTCTGTCTGAGCTATTTTCAAGCCAGATGCCAATCAGAGAATGGGCATGGGGTCCCTCCTGAGGGGCTCCACATTCCACCAGAGAGATGGAGAGGGCACAGCCAGTGGAGCAAGGGATTCCCTGGGCTGCTGGTGAAGCCGAGTCCCTCTCACAGCTCTGCTGGTGGCCACTCTGACCAGCTTGGGAGCCCTCCCAATCCCACCATACACGGTGCCACTCCCACCAGAGTTCTTCCCCATGGAGGGGCAGGCAAAGCCCTTCACGGGAGCTCTGCAGTGGGGAGAGACTTGTGCTGACAGGGTTAAAGCCACAAGTTGGATTGGGTAGATGAAGGAAAACAATTTTCCTGTATGCTAAGCGAAGCAGATGAGATGCACTCAGCTTCTATTTAGGGCAGCGTCAAAATTAGCAGCAGGCCAGAGAGGAACATTGGCAATGTGGGAGCTGATCAGGGAGGGGAAAAACCCCCTCTCACCTCCTGCCTGCCACGTGCTGATCCACTGATGGAGCCACAGCTCCAGGGGACCCTCTGAACCACCAACAGTTGCACCTCAGAAATCAAAGCTGGCTTGGGCTTGAACTGAGGGTGAACTCCATCACTCACAGCTCTGCTATGTTGGGTTGTGTGACCCAAATTTCAGGGTAGAGGAGGAAACAGGCTCATTCACACCGAGCCTCCCTCCCGCTGTTCCACGACTGCATGGAGTAAACCAGAGCGGTCCTGGAGTCAGGGGGAAATTCCAGCTTGCAGGAGCAGCCTGGCAGTGCATGCCAGAGCTCCCCTCCACAGAGACCAGATCCCCCCAGCACATCCTGCAGAGACCCTGCAGTCTGGGGAGTCAGGATCCTGTTCCCAATGCACCTGGCAGGGAAAAGGATGCTCTGGATCAGCAGGAAGAGCAGCCAGAGCATGGAGATGTGGGGCTGGGCTGGTTGTGTGCCTGGTACCTCCCAGTGGTACCCCAGGGGCAGGAGGTCAGTGCCCGTGGGCCCTGTTAATGCTGACAGGGCTGTGCCAACCCATGGGCAGCCCCAGGGCAGCACCTGCGGGCACCAGGCTCCCTCCAGCCAAACCCTGCCCCAGGCCTGAGGCTCTCTAATTAAAATGCCCAAATATGACAAGGCAGGGAGTGCTGGGCTCCTTCCCTGCCAGGCTGCTCCCAGCCCCGAGGCAGGAGCTGCGAGGGCAGATGGAGGTGTGATCACACCCTGGGGCTCACCATCTGCTCCTGAGCTGTGCTGCCCGGGGCTTGGCACAGCCAGGGTCAGGAGGCTTCCCGGGAGCCAGGGCATCCCTCGTGGGGCTGAGCAACAGCCCTGCCACAGCACAGCCACACAGCCACATCCCCAAATGGCTCCCAGGCACCAGCTCCGGTGTCCCGAGACCACTTCTCACCTCATGGCCTCATCCCTCATCCTCTGCCTCCAGCGCTGCAGCTGCCCAAATTCTGCCAACTGTCACCTTCCTGTGGCAGCCAGACGCTGTCACAAGGAGTAAAACCAACCCCATCTGCACGGGGCAGAGGGACCCGGGGGCTGCTGGCACTGCAGAGATCCCTCCAGGGCAGATTTGGCTGCAAACACACTTGTCCTTGGCACAGGCACAGGGACACTCCCACCTCTGCCCACACAGGGACAAGGACAAGTGTGGAGCCTCTGCTCCTGCTCCCTGACCTCGGGCAGGACAGCGATGGCACCATCCCAAGCAGATGTAGGTCCCACCCGGGGGGGTCAGAGCTTTGTATGCATTTTCTGAGGGTGGCAGGGAGCACGACTCCCTCTCCTCACACAGGCCACTGGAAAGCATCCAGGCTTTTGCACACATTCCCTTGCTGGAGGAACAGGCTGTTTAACCTGCCTGGGTGGATTCAGGATATGTAAAAGCACAGCCGAGGTGTTGGAAAGCAGCAGAAAGCAGCTGCCGAGTGTCACAAGTGCCTGCTCTGCCACTGTCCCCTCTCCCTGCAGGCTGGGACCACCAGCTCCTCAGGAGCCCCAAGCCACGCTCATCACACCCCGTGGAAAAGCACAAATCCACCCATTTTCCTCTCTGATAAACTCTCACACCACATAACACTTATCAGAGTTTTGGGATGAGAAGGTCCTGGGCTGCCCAGCTCTGCCCCAGAGGTGCAGGAGATGGAGCAGCATCTCCTCTGGAAATCCCCCAGTCTGGCCACTCCACATGTGCAGGTGAAGCCAAGGCTGGAGCGATCCCAAAACACAGCCAGAACTGACTCCTGTGCCTCACGCCCCTTGGCCATTTTCACTGGGATTCTGGAAAGCCATTAAACCAAGGCAGAAAGCCTCACTGCAAGAACCAAACCACCTCCCAGCCCCCAGCACCTGAAGCCTCAGCCCACAAACACCCTGCAGGGCTTCCACCTTGGAGCCGCTGCCCAGAGGGACTCTGCAGAGAACCTTCCTCAGACAAATTCCCACTGCCGAGCCCCAGCCTGGGATCAGCACCCTGTCCCAATCTCTCTGTGACACCCAAGCGACCCAGACCCCCAGGCAGCCCCAGCTGTGCCCCCGCTACACCAACATCTGCTGCCAGAGATCCCTCAACCCAACGCTCTGGTGATGGCTTCTCCCGCAGCTTCCTGCAGCTCGGGATGCAGCTCTCCCCACAGCCCCGTTCAGCCCCACCAAAGCCTGTCAGACCCACTCTGGGACAGCTCCCCAGAGGTCCCCAAGGACCACAGCAGGTATTTCTGTGCTGGCCAAGTCATGGCACATCCCTCAGCGATTCCCAAACATGGGCGGAATGTCCCCTTCGGAGGGAACTTTATCCACCAAACCAAACAACAGACTCCCAAGAGCCACCCAAAGGGCCAAACCTTGTTCCTCTGTCAGACCAGCTTCTCCCACAGCTGCTGTCCCCAGGGCACTGACCTGCCTTTGGTTCCCCTCCTCTCCTCCAGGCTCAGCTTCTTGCAGACCTGACCCAATGCAGGATGGAGCAGTCAGGCTCAAGGGTCACTGGAGCCTTGTCCAGATCTCCCAGGGGACAGCTGGTTGGGATTGCAGGCAGGACCCAGGGGTGAATGGACCCTGGTGGGTCTGCTACAGCAGATCCAGCTCAGGAGCTGCTGCCTGCAGGAGTCTGGTGAGTGCCCAGGTCAGGGACGAGCGAGGATCCAGCAGCTGCCACTGTCACCCTCTCAGAGCGCGCTGCCTCGGCTTTTAAATGTGCCCACCACAACTCCACCTCATTTCAGGAAGGACACAACCTGGAGATGAGGTGACCTGACCACATCCCACAGTAAGAGAGCTGGGACAGGACCCAGCAATCAGTCCCCAGGACCAAGCTCTCCCCTGTGGACAGTCCTTGGAAAGCTGTGCCCTTGCCCAAGCAGGTGCTCACCTGCCCCAGGCCTGGCAGTTATCCATGCCCACACATCTGTGCCGACTGCCCTGCCCTATCTGCCTCTCCCCTGTGAACCACACATGTCACCACTCCTTACCTCTGCTCTTTTCAAGGCAGCCGACCTCAAAATCTCCAGGCAGGAGCAGGGTTGGTGCTGCTGGTGCCCACCAGTGCCAGAGCACCTCATCCAGGGCTGTCTGTCAGTCCCCTGCACCCGGCTTTTCTTTATCCTGCACCACCTCACCCCGGAGAACTCACCGTGGGGGCTGCACCCCTGGCACTGCCACAGCCTCAAACCCCAAAAACGTCAGGCACTGAACTTCCCAACCTCACCTGGAGAAAGGCTCTGAGGGGGAGGTTTGCAGAGAGGCAAGGGGGGCTGGAGGAGAGGAGTGGAAGGAAATCCCTGCCTGAAATCCACAGCCTGCTTTACCAGGAGGTGAAGCGCCCGAAGAATCGTTGCTGTGCTCCGGAGTGGGGCTGTCCCTGTCCCCAGCCAGCAGCTCCTCGGCTGGAATCCCCGCTCCTCTCAGCTCCGGAGGCAGCAGAGCTGTAAAACTCGCTTCTCTCGGCTCAGGGCAGAGTTCCCTTCCCGTGCCCACCCCTGGGCGCTGCTGACAGACACCCCGCGTCCCCCGGAGCACAGCCAGCCTCAGGGACCTCAGGGACCACCGCCACCCTCCGCCGTGACCCACGGCACACCCGGAGCCCCGCCGCAGCGATATCAACCACAAAAAGTTCCCAGCGGAGCTACCTGAAAACTTCAAACCCCGGAGCACCCGCGGCGCATCCCGGCCTGGGCGAACCCTCCGTGGCTCCGTATCCGCCTCCCCCTCCCGATGCTCCGGTCCAGAGGAAGGAGAAGGACTCGCCAAGAAGCCGCGGGTCCCGCACTGACCTCGGCTCCGGCTCTCACATGTCCGCGGGCAGCGGCGCTGGATGCTCGGGCTGCCCGGGGCTCTCCGCCCCGCCGAGGTTCGTGCCCGCCGATGCGGAGAGCGGCTCCGGTGACCCGCCGGGTGCCAGCCGAGGTTTAAAGCGCCAGCCTCCTCCCGGAGCCGCTCCGTGCCCTGGCACGATGGGGAGGGCTCCGGAGAACGCTCCTGCCTCCCTCACCTCGCTGCCACGATCCTCCCGTTATTAGATGATGCTCTTAAACACACAGTGCAGCTACGTGAATATTTAGCTTCCCTTCCACCTCCTCACCTCCCACCCGCCACGCTCACTTTTCCTTAAAAATAGATTTTGGGATCGATTCTCCCAAACTACATCTGCAAACACGCTCGGCTCCGCAGGGCACGGGCAGCACGGCAGCAGCACACGCTCGGTGCACACACAGACACACTCTGGTCGCTTGGATTTAAAGCACCAAAATACTGAAGGACCATTTTTAGCTCCTGATAGTCCTCCTGCTCCTCGTATTATTAGATATGTGTGGATTTTTTGTCTTGCTGCAAGAGCCTAGGCTGCTCAGCCATAAGCATCTCTTGATTTAAATCTAACACTGCTCGACAGAGGGAAATTTCTAATTGCAACAGGGTTTTAAACAGAGAGAAAGATGGAAATGCCACGCAGCAGCCAAAGAGCTGTTCTTACCTCACGTTTGTGAAATGGGAATTACTGACAGAGAAATGGGGCACTGGGAAAGAAAATCACTTTTCTTAAGGGACAAAATGGGGACAGAGCCCCACTGGCACTCTTGGCTCTCTGCCCACACTTGTCCTTCATTCTCATTTTTCACTGTAAAAGTAGGAAATTGCTTTAACCTGAACAAAAAATGCAGCTTTGGGGAACTGCCCATGCTGTTCCACAACAGTAAATTCATTTCCAGGGGTCACACAGTCATTTCCAGAGAAAGATGGAAACTGTGTGGGACCAGAGATCAGGACTCGTGGCTTGGTCCCTGGCCCAGACTGAAGAGGAAGAGAAGGGCTGAGGGAGGGCAGGGCACAGCCACAGCTCCTGTGAGCTCAGTGCTGGTGCTGCAGCCCCGTTCCCACTGGGGCTGAGACCAGGGGATCCATGGACAGAGAGGGGCAGCAGGGAATGAACCAGGACCAGGACCCTGCCCCTGATCTGAAGAGCTGAGCCACCCCTGGAGAGCTCTGAAAGGGGAAATCTGCAGCTGGTATAGGGAGAAAGGCAGAAAAGGGGTATAACAGAGGGGGAGAGCCCACACACAGGAGGTCGGCGCTTGGAGCAACATGAGGAAATGACATTTTCCCTCTGAGTTGAGGATGCAGCAAAGAATAACGAGCGAGACATCTGTGATCTGCAGAGACACCACCTACAGCGTCAGGCTGGAGCTCAGGGAGCTGAGAGTGCCCTGGGCACACGTGTGCCCTGCCCTGTGCTGTGCCCAGCCCCTGGCACAGCCCATCCACACCCTGCCCAAGCCCAGGACGTGCACACGCTTCCCTTGGAGCATGAAATTATCACCCTCACTTGGACAGTTTTCAAAGATTTTTTTTTCCCCTTTAAACAACTCGCCCACTCATCCCTATAAGCGCCGGTGCTAAAAGCTGGTTCTGTTGTTAAGATTTCAAATAACTCGGGTTTTATTGTTCCAAACAAAATCAAAATAACTCACCCACGCTCCCTCCTTCTGAAATGCATGAAGTGCTGACCTGTTGGGACCGTGCCCTGCTGCCACACAGGGCTCAGGCACGGGGCTGTGGCTCACAGCAGGTGACAATATCATTTGTGATTGCATTTGGAAGGAGCCCCGGGGCTGTCTGGCTCAAGAGTTACTGACACTGCTGCTGCCTGCAGTGCTGATCTGTCTGGAAGCCACTGCCACCGTGACCACATGGGCCACTTTGTGCCACGGGCACATTAACACGGGATTCACGCTTTTTCCTCAGCTACACAACCACCTGTCCTGAAAGGTCAGTCCAGCCCTCACTGCTGGGGTCAGGGGGAAATTACTCCTGGTTTCTCTTTTGCATATCCAAACAATCATCTGCAGTTAATGCAGTAACTTTTCCACATGGATTTAGACAGCATTTACCATGCCAGGCTGGGCTTCCCTGGCACTATTTACACAAACACCAGCCTGGATTTAGCACCTGGAGCTTGTTTCACTAACCAAGGACACCAGGTAGAAGCATTCTCACTCCTGCTCAGTCTCTGGAGAAGATGAGTGGCTACAGAGGTCAGAATGGCCCATCAAAAACCCGGGGGATCCCTTAAACACCAAAACTGGGAGTGAACCTGAACTACTGTTTGGAACAACTCAGGCTGGAGGTGGATGACAGCAGGCAGTAAATTTTTGGGGTGTGTAGCTCTCACCAGAGCTGTGGTACCTGGCTGTGCACACCAGCACACACCCAAAGCAGTAAAACTCAGGGTTTTGGCTACACCTCACTGCAGTGATTGACTCTGCATTTGGACAGGGGTGGAACCAGGACCGTGCTCAGCCGTGGAGTCTCAGCTGAGCAGCACTAATTTGCTAAACTGAAATAACTCCGTTGCTTGAAAGGGTCTAACCCATATTCCTGGTTAATTAGCACAAGGTTGATATCTAGAGCACTTTCTCCATCCACCTCCCCACTCCAAGCCCCACGGAGCAGGGCAGGTGATGGAGACAATCCAATGCTCCAGCTGCAGAGGTGCCCTGCTCTCCCCATCCCTTGCACTCCCTGCACCTCACATTGGAACCTCCCGACAGTTTGCTTTGAAAACGCTCTGCAAAAAAAGCCTGCTCATCTCTGGATTGCCAAAATTGTGCTGCTTCCTTGAATCAGACTTTTATTGAGACACCTGCTTGCTCAGAGCACAGCGAGGTTTCAAGAAGGAGCTGAGCAGATGCAGCACCTTCCTCAGGGGTGGTGGGGATGGGGGAAGCTGGTTGTGGAGCTGTGCACACCCATCCACATCAGCACCCATAACACATCAGCCTGCACATAAACACCCCCTGCTCAGCACACGCCCAGATCTTAATTATTATTTACTCACAGCCCAGAAATGCCTGAAGGCCGCGTTCAAGATCAAGGCCTTGTTGTGCAAGGCACCCCACAAAACACGAAATCCTGGCCCTGCTGGGGCAGGGAGGGCTCCTGGGGCTGGTTCCTGTGGGTTTGCCACTGCAGCCATGCTCTGTCTGACCTGCTCAGGAGAGTTGAAACAGGCAAGACAAAAATCACACGCAAAGAAAGGAGCAGCTTCTCCTATCAGCCAAAAGCATCTCCTGCTCTGGGACCTGCAAAGGGCAGGATGAAACTACACCCTCCTTGGGGTTTGCTCCATGTGACAGAGCCCAGAGAACACTGGGATTCAAGTGGCTTTAGACACAGGCAAAAACATCCTCCTGGGACTTTCCTGCAGGTCCCAGGGGAGAGGCACCTCCTGCAGCCAGGCAGTGCCTGGCTCTGCCCTCCCAGACAGGGCTGCATCCACTGCTCTGCTCTGCAACGAGCACTGCAGGGAGCTGGAACTTCCCCTGTGGCACAAACAGCACGATCCAGGATGGAAAAGTTGGATCCATGGGATGGTTTGGGGCCCTGCTCTAATTGCACATCTCCCTAGGGGAGCCTCTCCAGCCATCCCTGCACTCAGAGCACCTCGCTGGGCTCAGCCCTGCCAGGGCTTCTGGGGCCACACAGGGATGGGGAAGGAGCCAGAGGCTCTGAAAAACCATTATTTGGGGTCTTTTAGATTAATTGGTGTTAACTGCCTAGGGAGGCTTAAAAATAGCACAGCTAATGGGAAATGTGGATGCTGAAGGTGAGATGTGAGCAGAGGCCACATTAACCTGACACAGGCTGTGCCCAGCCTGCAGCCAGTGCCCAAACCAGGGACAGCTTCTGTCCAGCTGTCCAGGGACAGCTTCTGTCCAGCTGGGAATTGCTGCCTGCACCTCTCATTCTGCCCCCCTCAGCTGCCTTCACAACCATCTGGGGACAGGGGAACCTTCCTGCTGCCACGGCAGGTTTTATCAGGAGAGCTCCAGGAACCAGCCCTTAAACCCTCCTGGATTCATGGGTTCCTTCTCCTGCAGCCATGGAGGACCCTCAGCCAGCTCCCAGGGAGCCTCAGCTTCCTGCACCCTAAGCAGAGATGCAAGGACAGCTCAGAGACACCCCAAAGCCTCTGCTCGCCCCAAGGCCACCCTAAATCCAGAGCAGAGGACTGCATTGATGGGACGGTGTCTATCCAAAAGCAGTGACTTAAGGAACAGCCTGAGGAGGTCACAGAACCCTCCTCTCCCTGCCCACAGACTCCAGGGATGGAGCTGCCTGGTGCCAGTGAAGGCAGCAGGGTGGCCTCTGGGCAGGATGCCCCAGTGGGGGTGATCTGGCCTCCCCAAAATGGGGCAATAACAGACAAAAGCCAAATCTGCCCCAAGGCTCTGCTGTGCTTGTGTCCTCTGGGGGAGCCTCCAGCTCTGCTCAGCAGCTGAAAACAGCCCCAATCAAAGATAAGGTTCACACAGAGCTGCTCTGGTTATACAGCTCTGTCCTTCAGTGAAACCCTGAAAACATCACAGCAGCAGCACTTCCTGGTTTTCAATATAATTTACAGAAAGAGAAACGCAAGTTATTGGTACAAAAAAGGTTCTTTAGGTAGCCCCAGCAGGCACAGCCAGACCATGATCCCTTCCCAGCACAGGGACCTGCTGGATCCATCCATGCCAGACCCCACAGCCACAGCTGGGAGCTCAGGGATGGTTGTGCAAGAAAATCAAACACAGCCCCGAGTCACCAGAGGCCCCCTTGTCATCTGGTGTCACCCCAGCTCCAGGGATTTAAGCCCAGTTAGGCTGATTTACATCCAAAGAGAACCTGGGCTATGATATTTTTTAAGCTCTTCTGCCATGTGAAGTTTAATAAATGCCAGAGGCCAGAACTGTGAAGGTACAAAGTGCCCCAGGCACAGCAGAGATCCAAGAAAGGAATGAAAAGTTCCAGATTTTGAGAGAAATCAAACATTTGGAGGCTTATCGCTCTGGGTTTGGCTTCAATTCATCCTTTTTTTTTCTGTGCTGTTCTCTTTAAAGTGACAGTTTCTAGGAAATGGTGAGTGTAACATCTCTTTTACTGTCTCATCCCACTTGATGGCTGACAGTTTGCCGGGAGAAAAGGTTGTGCAAGGAGGAAAGCAGACCTCAATTACGGTTTCAAAGTGCCAATAACTGCAAACTCACTTACAGTGAGTCAACGGGAGAAGGATGGATTTGGGGAGCCTGGTTTGTCACCTCCAGCCTGGCTCCTTGACCTTCAGACCTCCAACACGAGTCTGCTGGGTGGCCTTGGACAGCCAGCTCAGCTTTTACCTCCTTCCTAGAACAGATTCCTCTGGCAAGAGGCTTTTCCTCATTGTTTTTTAGCTCCAGAGCTGGTCTCCATATATTAAATATGAATATTTTATAATAAATATGAATGGAAT